TTACGTCGTATTATCTATTAGATTTAAAGAATAAAATTTTGGAATAGAAAGAAAATTAAAGAAAGTGAATTCTGTTATGCGAAAGATTATTTTATAATTGTTAATAATCGAAACAAAATATAATTGTGATTTTAAATTCTGAAATTTGAAATATATAAAATTAAAATTCAAACAATTAATCGACATATGAATTATACGTGTTTCGAAATTTGAAATATTCATTTTTATCGATATCTTGAATATTCATTTAAAACAAATCGAAATTTTGAATGGAAATTTCATTAAAATACTAAAATTATTTTAATTGCAAAGTTTGAAGTATAATTATTATAATTAAAAAAGTTTTATTTTTTTTATTTTTTTTTACTTACATATCTACCTATTATTCCATATTTAAAATATTTACAATTTTTCTACCTCGATTAAATTGCTCGAGACGAGTCGATTAAATCAATCGATAAGACATATTTGATAATAGATCGTTTTTTGATTTGAAAAAACTCCGTTCTCGATTACGATCGGCCACGTGCGCGAACAGTTTTACCCTCCGAAAGAACAATGGACCATACATTGGATCTTTCATTTCTGCGCTCGGAACGAACAACGAGAAGAAATCTAGAAAGGGAACCGAATCTTTTTCTCTCCTCGCCCTTCCAACGTAATATCACGCCATACGTTATTTCCCACAAAATATTTCGACATCTCTCCAAAGTTTGGACGCTAAACCGAAACTTGGTACGGAAACGAAGCAAGAACGGTTAAATAAATTTGGGCGAAAGTTGGAAATATAGGATCGGTTTTCTCGAGACTCTAACTAAAAACATCGGCAACCACGAGTTCGCCAAGATGGTCTCGCTCGGGTGCATCGGGCAAAGCGCAGCTGGGATTGGAGAATTCAATTAAACCGTGTACGCGCGCGTACAGAAGAGAATACGGGTGGAAAATACGGGATGAAAATTTGTGGAGAAAAGAGGAGGCAAGAAAATTGTCGTTTATCATTAGCACGTACCTCGACTCGTATAGTCAGATTGTACTCCTTTATGCTCTCGTAATCCAGCTGATGGTTAACCTTGATGTCGGCCCAGGTGACAGACTTCTCGGCTCGTTGCTGAAGGTAAAACGTGTGAAACTTGTTGGTCTGCGCGGTGGATCCAGGCATTAGCCGGTAAAACACCGTCGGATTATTCTCGATTCCCGAGCTGTCGACACACACACCATACACACATGTTACAAAATCGAGGCCGGCTCGCCAATCACCTCCGCATTTTCGGAGTTCGATACTTAACGAACGGAAAACGGGAAACGGAAACAGAAACGAGAACGGAAATCACCTAGGGTAGACATATGTATATATCGAAAAAGTACAAAGCTAAGTTATGGATATATATTTTTTACCGACTATGGAAGAGAGGCTAGCCTCGACACGAGTAATCGTCGTCATGCGATTCGTATCGACTCGTATCGTGGATACGTTATTCCTTTCTTGCTTTTTCTCTTCTCGTTCATATTTTTCTTTTCCTTTTTTTTCTTACTTTTTTCTTTCTTTTTTTCTTTCTTCCTTTTTTTTTTTTCTTTTCTTTTTTTATTTTATCTTTGAATTCTCTTTTATCAAATGGAACATCATCCTTTCTAATAGGATAAGCTACAGATATACATCGGCGTATACGAACTAGATTTTAGCTAATTGATTTTATCTAACGCGCATATGCACTTCCCGTCGTCGCCTGTCTTTTCCGTTTCTGGCGCGTTATTTAGATACTAAAATGTGTTAGGTTGTCCATACCCTCGCTGGTTACACCACGGATGCGGAAAGCGTTCTGAAGTCTAGTGTCGTTAGTTGTGCAGCAACACATCCCTTATTCCCCATCTACTACCTTTAGCTTTCCTACGAGTATGCTTGGTTAGAGGGTGTCACGCTGCGTTGTCACGTGTCGAGAATAGCAAATTTCGTTAGTGAATAATTTTATACAAGGAATGCTTTTGCTTTCGCGACGAATCGGTCGCCATGTTTCTCGTTTCGTGGAATTCGAATTTATTTGATCCAACAACTATATATATACAAAAAAAAAAAAAAAAAAAAGTATCAAGTACAATCGATACTTTTTAAACAGGGAGTCAACTATCATTATTCGAACTTGGCCAAGTTATTAGAGTAATATTGTTGCAACGTGAAAGCGAAATCGAATAGAAATCGTGTCCTCGATAATTTTCAAATCGATTTGCGCATTATGTAAAAATATCCCGCGAGAAATTTAGATTAAAAGCGTAATTTCATAGATACGCTATTATTTTATCGAGGCAGGGGCATAAAACAGGCGAGAGTGGTGTTTCGAGTTCAAAGTGCGAGATCGATAGGAGGGGGGCGTCGTGAAATACTCGATTATGCGTGTCACGTTTCACATTTAACAAGGCTCTTTCACTTATGAAAAAATATATGCCCGTACACGTGCTTTTAACACGTATCCCCGCAAAATGTTACCGAAACTTTTTTAAAACATAAAAGTCCCCTCGTATGAAAGCGCGTACTCCTCCTCCTCCCTTTTGCTTTATATCGTTATTAACACGCGGTATTTCGCTCGTTTCGTTCGTATTTAACTTATCGACTTGTTTTTTTCCTCGTTATAGAAATAAAATGAAACAAAAAGGGGAAAGTTGTCGACAGAACGGATATTATCTCGGATTAAATCGAATCCTCCGAATCACCGACGCAGAAAAGCTGCTCCTCTAATAAATTGGCCGGCATCCACGCAATCACCCATCATTATCGTTTCCCGTTGTGTTCAACGTCATCCGTTAGACGCGTACGTCTCGATCGCTCAAAGGCCACAAAATTGATAGCACCGTTCGTCGATTGGAACGCGTTCGATCAGGACGTCGACGAAGGAAGTGCTGGAAACACTTCTATCTTGACAAACGGCCGTCAAATTGCGAATATTCTGCGCGGAATCATCCGATACGGTTCGATGGAAAAGTTCGAGTTATTATATCGCGACTTTCGAGCGATTAGACTTGGAGAGTAAAGCGTCTGTTACGATGTCGCGCGACTCGATCTTTACGATTAGATGTTAAACGACGAAGTACTCGAATAGAGAGAAGGAAGAATATTCGAGGAAAGAAATTCAGATTTGAATTAATGCCAATAATGTGAATAACTTCGATTCGAAAATGAATTTTACACGTTTGGAGGAAATGAGGCAAGATGATGCTCCGTTTTTTTTCCCCCCCTCCCTGTTTCATCGAAGACGGATAAACGTTTCGAAACTTCTTTCGAAAGAGACGTGAAATTTTCTTTGATCGAGAGAAATTGGAAATGAATTGTTGAATGGAGAGGAAATTGAACGGGTAATTGCTCTTCGGTTTTTCTGCTTTCTTTCGCCTCGAATATTTTCACGCTTTTTGGCCTATATTTCTATACGGTTTTAGCGCGATTTTTCAACGCGTTTCGACATTTTGAAATTCGTAAAAGCGTTCAATTTAACAATAGTAAATGGAACGATTTATGCACGTTAACGCATAAACCGATCATAAAGTGAAAATACGGCGTCGATAATGGTGCTTATTTACGCGAAATATAGAATCATGAAGTAGATTGCCACTCACGTTCGATGAAACAAGATTGTACAGTTTCGTAGCATAATTTCATTTCCATTACAAAATGTGATTGAAATTTATTCATACAACTTTACACGACTATCGTTTGTTGGCTATTGAATTTTCCGGATAAAATAAAAATGAGAGAAAGAGAGAAAGAGAGAGAGAGAAAGACTCGCGTATACGGTCTCGATAAAATTTTTTTATCGAGGTCCGCTAGATCGTTGATTCTATTGGAAAAATTGTGAATACAAAATGATTCGTGGTGAATTACAAACAGATACAAACGGATAAAAAATCGTCGAAAAATTGAAACGCTTTCCGATAATCCGACAATCGTGAATATTGCGGTTGTTACATCGCGTGAAAAAAAAAAAAAAAGAAGACGTAAATTTGGAAAGTAACGTAAGTAACTTTAAGAATGAAGATAATTATTTCCAAATTATTTTCAATGCTATATAGTTAATATAATTTACGAGAATCTTTTTCTCTTCGGAATAAAAAATCTTTAATTTCTCTTGGGAGATTAACCTCGAATTTAAGCTTCTCGTTTAATCCTTTTCACCGAGCAAGGATTAGTTTCCATCCGTGAATGGGATGGGATTAAAAATATTACGAGTGAATTTTTAATAATAACCAACCGATAAAACGAAACGAGATTAACATCGAGTGGAGCATTCCGTTACAATTCGACGAATCAAAGTTATAGATGTAAAAATTGAGAGGCGAAATATTTAATTACTCGAGCTTGTATTACATTCTCGGTTAAAAGCACGAGGGGGGGGGAAAAAAAACTTCATTTCCTCCTTTCTCGCCTCGTAAAAGTTCTCGAGAGAACCCAAAGGATCGAACTTTAAAGGTCTAACGGATGCAGAAGGAGAAAGAGAAAAAAAAAAAAAAAAAAAAAATGTTAGAAAATGAATATTTGAACGTGACGATGTTAGTGGGTTTTTCAAGCGTGACCCCTCACCTCGTTTCTATGTGTGTGCACTGTTGTATCGTGTTTGTTAAAACCCTCTTACAGATAGCGATAAAGCGAATAAATACAAATATCAACGACAAATACACAGCATGAACCTGTTTTTCTGTTACGTCTAATAATAAAAGAAAAAAAAAAAAAAAACGCTTCTTTCATCGTTCCCCAACCATGGTGCGCGGTGGTGTTTGTCATTCATTTCCACTTTTTTCATTTCTTTGGCAGTCGTGTAATCAGCGTGATCATCGTTAATAGCAGCGATATTTGAGAAGCGAGAAAGAGAAATCTCTCATTCATCGTTTTCGCCTTTGTTCCAGCAAACTTGTTCTTCACGTACGACACCGTTTCCAATTTCGACTCCTCGAGCGTGAACATCGTAGGATTCTCACCTCTTTTTCTTCCTCTTACATCCGTTTCTTTTCCTTTCTTTTTCGTTTCTTTTCTTTTCTTTTTTCTTTATTATTATTATTATTATTTTTTTTTTTATTTATTTTATATCTCGAAGCTAAATACTCTGGAGCCATTCGAATCGAACTTTCGTCACTTTCGATCCACGTACGTTATTCGTACGTTTAACGTATAATTCCGAGAGATGCTCTAACTAAGGATGTCTCAAAGTCTAATCGTTATTCAGCTTTGTCGTACGACTGGCGCAAAAATATCTGACCGGCAAAAACCACTACGAGAACACACTACGCTCTCGAAAGAAAATGAAAAATTGAAAAAGAAAAAAAAAAAAAAAAAAGAAAAAAAAAAAGAGATCGCTCGAACGTAAAATATGGATGACCAAATGATATACCGAGGCGAAAAGGGAAGGGAATGTGAGGATAGAGAGAGAGAAAAAAAAAAAACAAAAGTAACGGATCATTTTTCAGAACAATACACGGTATAACCTACCGCAGATAAGCAACTGACGAAACATGCCCAAAAATTAATACGGCATTCACGTAATGTACAATACGTATGTATAAAATGTATATATATATCGACGATCTATACTTGATGCAAATCTCGCAACAAATTGTAAAAAAAAAAAGGAAAAAGGTCGGAAAGAACGCAAAAATGATGCTTAGACGACGCGGCGACGCGATTTGTTTGAAACTTATAAAAATTATCTTTTTTTTTTTTTTTTTTTTTTTTTTTTTCTTTTCTATTGTCGATATATCGAGATTAATTATTAACGACGTGTCGTCATCTCGACGCCACCTCGTTCAAGATTTCGCACGACGATTCCACGACGGTGAATTCGAAAAACGTAGTAGACGAAAACAATGTGAGGTTGAAAAAATTTTGAAAAAAGCCAATCCGGTGCATAAAAAACAGTTACCAAAGAGAGAGAGAAGAAAGAGAGAGAGAGAGAGAGAGAGAGAGATAGAGAGAAAGAGAGAGAAAGAACGCAAAGAAAACGAAGAACAGAGGAGTAACGGTGGAGAAGAGAACGGAAAATATGGGGAGCCACGTTTCAACCGGTATGAATGAAATCAATCGAAAAATAAGAGAAAAAAATGTATTTACCAACGTCTGAGGGAAGCATCTATTTGTAAAACGCATGCCCAAAAAATATTTACGGCACACACACACTAATTGTATGAGTCTGCTATAATCCGGATTAATTCCGCGATTACCTGGATAATCGCTAGAACGAATGTGACTTCCGCGAATATTCGCTTACCCCTTCGAGCGCGCCGTGTGCGCCTACCCGATTGCGTTAATCCGTCGCTTTCGATTCTTCCATAGATTAACTCCCTCCACGCTGAAAATTTTCTGTCGCTCTCCTTTATCTCTGATCCAACCATCTTTCCAACGGCAGATGCGTTTCGTTGCGACGCGGATCGCTCGATGACGCTTTTATGTTCAAAAGTTTCAGCGAAATTCGTCGAATAAAGTTATTTCTTACTGATCGATACTTTGCTAAGTAACGGAAAATTCGTTAGTTGTTTCGTAAATTGATTTTCTTTTCAAAAGAAAAATTCACAGACGAAAGTAAGAAAGAGAAAAAAAAATTCGTTAGGCGGGGTATCATAATGATTTGTAACGAGAAAATAACGAGTGTTGGGACGCACGATCAAATATAGAGAAAATTGGTATCCGTGTATATATGGGACGTAACAAAGCATCGTGCATCCATCTGTTGCCCGTACCGCAAACGTATCAGGGAAGAAAATTGGCACGCGTTTGACATTGGAGCGATCGCGTGACGTTATACGCGAGTGCTCGCGTACCACGTTCATATCGCCTCCTCTTTTACTGCAGCACGTGGTCACGGCATCTGGTTCAAATGCATACGTAATTAACCTATCCGTTCCGTGCCGGAAGTCCATGTGTTTCGGCAACGTTCCGCTTCAAAATCGTGCGTGGAACACCCCAATTTTCATTATCGATACATTTCCGTACAAAATTGTGAAAAAAAAAAAAAAAAAAAGAACTCGTATTCGACAAATTGTACGCGCGAAATCGCACATTTTCCTTACGCATACGCACCATTCTCCAATTATATACTTTTCGAATCTCGAAGTTCGCTTCTCGCTCGCTTCAATTTCGTACATTCTTACGACTAATTAATTCGATCGAAGATTATTCCAAGTTGCTCTTGTAATTTTAATCCCAACTTCTAATGAAAACTTCCTACCGTAAATCTAAATTATAAAGTTCAAACGGATAAGCAATTACCGTACGCTCGCTACCAGTATAATTTCCGACATCGAGCCAAGTAAGCGTAAACCCCGCTAACGCTATTCCAACAACGACGAAATATATCTTGGATCGAGAACGCGCAAGATAACGTTCCTAACGCAACGAAACATGATCGATCCCGTGGAAAAAAAATAATTTTATTCGAGAGAACGAGTCCGTATTTTCTAATACTCGTTTGAAGAAATTGCCGTTTATCAAATTCGTATATATATTCGTGTATATATATATTGGGAGGATCGGAGCGAACGGAACGCTTCGGTTGAGCGCACAATACGCGCGGCTCGCGCGAATTACAGCAACGCGAACGAGCTTTGGCAAACGAACTGCTCGCTTTATTCCCCCATATTTTCTTCTTTCTTTCATTTTTGTTTTTTTTTTTTTTTTTTTTTTTTTTTGTTTTTTTTCCGTTCAAACGAATACTCGTGCTCACCACCTGACGTGTATGCATCTGTGCTCGTGTTCGTCGGGTCGTCACGCGTTAACGATGGGCGTCCCATTGTGGAATATCGCGTTTCGATAACCAGTTCCACCTGGTGAGAGAGAATCTTAAATGGTTGGAAAACGTTGGAGGTCTTGAAATGTCGGAATCGAACGTAATGCATGCAGCGGTATAAATATATATATATATATCAAAATACTGTAATATTCCTGTAGCTTTCTATACCAACGATCTATACCAACATCGTCATTTGTATTCGTATACTCGGTTCAGCAAGTTTAATGCAGCTTCTACCACTACTAGGAAGTCTTCAACGGTTTCAAGACAATTTCGTCTTCCAGACGGTT